AAAAAAAAAAAAAAAAACCCAAAGAAAAAAGAAAGGGTAGCCGATAGCAGATATGCACATCGAAATAACAAGATTATTAAACATCAGTATAAATACCAAATTTCTTGATGTGCAAATAAAAATATTTGAAGGTAATCAATTGATGAAAGTACTTGAAAGAAATCAGTTGATGAAAGTACTTGAAGGAAATCAGTTAATGAAGTATTTCAGAGCAGAGATGGTAAACAGCGGACAAAAGTTTTTGAAGGAAATCAGTTGGTGAAACACACTGAGTAGTGGGATAGGCAACAGCACTTGTATGGATGATGAGAAAGAAAAAAAATCTGAACCACAAGGCTAGACACAAGGACATTTAATTTAAACATGACCAAAAAAGAACTCTCCTGATGAATAAGGATTGAACATAGGGAAGTAAATCTTCTTATTGAACCTTAAAAGCGAAACTAAACATATCAAAAGAGCAAATCGACTAGAGTCCATATTGTCAATAAGCTGATGTGAGGCTAAAACACTCATATATGTGTGACAAGACCTCAGGGAAAAGATGCATGCCCAAAGTGCAACATCCAAGCATCTCCACTAAATACAAGAAAAAACACGGTGATTGTAATGTAATGAATATGATCACAACATTGATCAAATCTAACGGGTGGATATACCTTCAAATAGATCAGATATAGAAACCAAAATGTTCTTGTCCCAAGTAGGATTAATAGTCATTGAAGGTCAGAACATGGCCTTTGCAGTGAAAATTTTTGTTGCAACAGTGCATGAAGAGCATCTCATTAAGAAGATGGAGAATTGGCAGGTTGACATACTATTCCCCCAATTCTCTTCTGTGCTTCTTGAATTTCCAAAACTTTACAGCAAATTAAAGCTGAACATGTTTAATTGTGAGAAGCAAACGGATGCTCAGAACTTAGCAAGTAGAAGCAGTGATAAAGGGTTGTTATTAAGTTGCCAAACTTTCTTCTAAGAAGAAAGATATCATAATAATATACTAAAACATGTAGGCCCAATTTAGCTACCATTAACATCAGAACCTGATCGAAAAATTATCAAATAGTTAAGAAATTATCCGTCTAAATAATCATCTAAACTTGCTTCAGAAGGTCAATATAAGAGATATCAAACATTTTTTTATTTGCACATTAAATGACCCAAATATGCATACTTAATTCATTTGATTATCAAAGATTTGTTTACACATTTTATCCACTGATGTTATATTTTGATTTCTTTATACTAAGCTCTAGATATTAAACTAATCTAGAGAGACTAAGACCTTGGTTCCCTTGAAGAATTAAGGTGGAATTATGCACTCATAGAAGATGGAATCTTACGTCGGTCCTATCAGAGATAGGCTAATTTAATCTGAGATGTGATGCTAGAAGACATCAAACAATTTTAGAAGATGGAATCTTTTTGTCCTATCAAGAGTTATAACTCACACATCTATCCAAAAACTAAAATATTTCCATATAATACTTATATATTTTAAATATAATATATAGTAATAATTATATATATATATATATTATATATATATATATTAAAGAGAGAGAGAGCTGAGAGAGGATGAGAGAGGAAAAAATGGAAAACTTCGGCTACCAAGTGCTCCAAACAACTTGGTAGTGATATCGTTTGGCCTAATCTTGCTCCCTACATCTACATTGGAGTTGAGTGAAAGCGGTGGTGAGGCTCTATCTTCGACGGTGTGCATGTAGGGCCAAGAATTACGGCCACATGCACTACCAAGTTGCTATTAAGGCAACTTGTGTACCAAGATCGCAGGTTCTCCATATTTCTCATAATATATATATATATATATATATATATATATATATAATTCAGAAAAATATTCTTTCCTTCAAGTTATACATGCACTACTCTTGCATTTTTTGTGTGTTTAACAAGAGTTAGCCTTAACTCTTAACTGACTTTAGTTACCAAACATAACCTTCGTGTCTCTCCCACATTTCCCTTCTCACCAGTAATTTTTGTATCAAAAATTTTAATCAAAATTCAAATGACGCAATCTATCATTTTCAGTAAGGAACAATTCAATTTTTCGGTAAGGAACAATTCAAAATTTTCAGATACTAAAAGAATCATATTTTTAAGTCAAAGCAAACAACTCTTTAATCAAATCACTTTTGTTCATAAACTATTAAAATATTAAATCAGACAATTACAAATATATATATTAGTATTCAATGAATATTCTAAGGACATTTGAATTCAAACACAGATTCAGGGAATAAAATTTGAATGTGAATTCAGATTTGAAGATTATAGAGGACAATGCAAATATAAGCAGCTTAATATTACATTTGGTTCTTTTCAAGTCCTACTTACCATTGTACGGGTCTCCAAACTTATAATCAAATATGCATGGTATTCGTCATCTTCTGTCAATGTCTTTGAAGAATCAACTGCATGTCTACGTGAGCTCTTATGGTACACAGTCCAAATTCCTTTGCAACCAGGCAACTCAACCTGCTAAGGTTGTGTAATATTACATCATATGGGGCAAAAAGAAACAGTAAAACTCCGAGGAGAAGTATCAAACAAAAGAAATTCTATTAAGGTCTTATCTCCGCACAATTAAAATAAAGAAAAAGAAAGTATGGTACAAACAAGCAGAATCTAGCAAGAACCCACACAAGAAATCAAGAACCTATGGCTGGGGCAACAAATCACTCAACTTTTGTTTAAATATGCCATATAAATGATAACGGACAAGACTGATTTGGAACAATACTGTCAAGTTGTTCCATAATTCGAGCAACTAATAAATCATTAGGGTTTTTCGATATCAGTCCCTTAAAACACTAGTATTTTGATATTAGTCCCTTAAATCTGCACATTTTGTTATTAGTCCCTCAAATTGCTCAAATATGTTGATATTGGTCCTTCAGTTAGATTTTCTATTGAAAATTCTTAACTCTGGTCAGTTTAGACTAGCTAACAGTGTTTCACTACCAAAATACCGATTTTCCTGTTGAATACACCTACCAAACAGTCGTTCCTCCTCCACTCTCTCCCTTTTTCCCACTGTCTTCAGAAGAAAAGGGGGCGATTTTGCAGTTGAAATGAAGGGGTTCACTGTGGTCGGAGCATTGAAGAAGACGAAGAGAAAATCAGGTTCGGTTTCCTTGACGGGTTTCTGGGCTTGGTTTTTATAACTGAGGGTATAACTGTCCATTTACTATAGAAGTTATACAAAACAGAATATTCCATGGTATTTATAACCTCAGCTAACCTCAGGGACTAATATCAACATATTTAAGCAATCTGAGGGACTAATATTGAAATATGCAGATTTAATGGTCTAATATCAAAATATTAGTGAGTTAAGGGACTGATATCAAAAAATTCCTACATCATTTTCTCCGGGAGTGGATTCATGTCAACTTAAAACACTTTGTGATTTTGTCTAGCTTCTTGCATTATAGTTCTGACAGCAGAATTAAGGTAATAAATATGGTAGCTTCATTCATATGTATGCATGCAATAATAATCAGGCCTAGGACCATGCTAATATAAGTTGCAATAAGTGACAACACAAGTTAATATGCAAGTCTCAAAATTTTACACAGGAAATTTTTGACAAAGCATAAAAGGGATGAAGAATTAGTACAAATTTTTCCTAAGGTGAAACATTTTCTACAAAGCTTATACTGGCTCACAGCAACTCAGAGGCATGCACAACATACATCCAGAGAAATAGTCACAGGTTCAATTTAGTGACCACTAGATGCTGCTGTTACTTTTTATACATAATATCAAATAGGAATCATAACAGAACCGCCTGAGCGGGCAGTTCTGACCATACAATAGGGAGGGTGAATTACCACTTTACAACCCCACCCACCCCGCTCCCCCCACCCTCTCACGGAGGCAGTTTTGGTACAAATTGGACTGCATAATATCTAACCATGCACTGAACATACCAAGTAACATCATAGATAAGTAATATATGTCAGTAAAACCATCACATTTTAACAATTCCTAAATTAATTATTATATTGGCAAGAACTGAAGTGTTTGTCTAGTAATTCTAGATCCAAAGGCAAATATCCATTCCTTTCTAAGGAGTGCTTCATGCTTTTAGCTACATGCAAAGTCGTAATAAAAACTAGAAGCAAAAAACCAAACAGCTTTGTGTAATAATATAATCCTCTATAACTTTATTTTTATTTTTATTTTTATTTTGCTTTTTACTCAAAGTATGAAGCTTTTACAAGAGTGGCATACTGGATGTCGCCACTCTTCCTACTGAAAGAAGAAAAGAAAATTGAAAAACAAACTGGCTATAAAAGAGGGTAAGGTGCATAAAAAATATGTGCCTCACTCAAGATATCATTTTACAGAATAGTCTAAATTCATAACTGAATATCTAGAATTGTGTCCTGTTTGTTATGCCATTTTACATAAATGATTTTTAAAACGCTAAATTTGCATTAATATGAGTCATGCTAGTCTGACAACTAACAAACTCAAGTCTGTCTCAAAACGCACTGATATCTTCCCCAATATCTCAATAGTGAGTGGAGGTGTAATGGCTTACATGGGGGTAGAAGGGTCTGGAACACATAATTGAGAAGCAAAAAATATCAAGCTTTATTTCTTTAGAAAAGATTGCACAAATAAATATATCATGGATATTAGGTAACATATTAAAGTTAGCTCATTGTTTTATGTTCAATAATTGTGTCAGCAAGTCAATATTTTAATATTTTTCGTGTGACACATTGTATCTGCACATCCCCATGAATATATGCAAAGAGAAAATATTAATTGATGCTCCTCCTTTCACCAGTAACTTCTTATCTACCATAAAAGTCAACATGAAAGATAATGCATTAGAAGATGGGTCTAGATATATAGAAACAATGCCTATGAAGAGCGAGTGCGCAAGAAAAAGAAACATTATTATTAGGATTACGGTGTTGAGATATGAAATTTTTTGCGTGTAGTATGTACTTAATCTATTAGTAATCAAGGATGCATTAGGACTTAAAGCCTACTGTATATGTAAATTGCTAAAACAACGATAATTTCATCCCAAGTTTATTCTCTTGTAACAGGAACACCCACTCGAATCCTAATTTAATGAGTTCATACATATTAAATGATGAGTTAAGGATGCAATAAAGAATGAGTCATCCCATATTACACATGATTATCACAGACAACAACAATCAACAGTGAATTTTCAAATTACCTGCTGTGGTAATTTGTTATCAAAGACAGTAAGCAAGCAGCATACGTACATGCAGCAAAAGAATAATGAGATGCATACCTCAGTAATCAATTCGGGCCGTATTGATTGCTGAAGAACACAAAGGGCACCATTCTTTCCATGTCCGGAGCAGCAAACCTGAGATAGAAGAATACAAATTCAAACCAATCCACATGCATAGAGCATAAAACATGACTCCCGACTAAACCAACCAAATGGCCCAGACTATATAATCAAGAAAAGGGGACATGAATAACCATAGATAAATATTAGATTCAGAAAATCAGCAAGAAATAAAAAGATAAAACTGATCAGCAGTCTTTCTTTAAACAGAGCAGCTGTAGATGATTTAAATATGCACTGAAGGAAATGCCGTCAATACAATACATTCATAAAAATGAACAAACGAACAGGGGGTTTAGAAATGATTCCAACTTTTAAGTTCTTCCACCAGTTTGGAAGAGGATTTAAATGCTCAAGAAAACTAAAATAAAGAATAGGTTCCTTCAGTTTTAGTTTACATGAGATTCAATATTCGAACCGATCCGCATCAGTACCCGAATCTGGTCCAATTCAGATATTCAAAACCCAAACCAGTCGGATCCGGATCCAGATCAGGATTCCCTTTGCATTTTAAAAGCGGATACGGATGCCAATCTGGTTTTGTTCAAGAAAACCGGATCCTAATCTGGATGCCCGCGTACTGTGATTGGGTTTCTCGAGCTAGTTTAGTTGTCCTGCAGCAGTTCCCAAAAGGCATATGATGTCTAATTATAAATGGGAATCTATAAGTTGCATGCCTAGTGAATAACCTATAGATTGACTTGACATGTGATAATGAACCTCTCCATACATCTTTATTTTATTATGTTTGTTACTTCGTCAATACATCCTTTTTTATTATATCTTTTACTTAAGACTTATCAATCAAGCCTCAAAATGTATCCATTAGGTGGCTGGCAGATCTGTAAGTCGGTTTATATGTTGCTTTTTAATTTTCTTTTATTTTTTTTCAGAGGAAACTAATCCTGGCACGTGGAGAAGATAGCAAGCAGAAAACTAAAAGTCTGAATATAATTTTGTTTTTGAATCTATATTTGTATCATATCTGTTTGTTATTTATATTCGAATTATATCCATATCCATTTCTCTTATATCCAAATCATATTCGCTTCTGATTTTGGCAGATTGGTTATAAAAAAATTTATTACCGAAGTATTATCCGAATCCGTATCTAAAACTAATAAGCGGATACGGGTATGGTAAGTGTCCTATCCATGCCATATCCGATCCGTTTGCACCCCTGATGACAACTAGTGAAAAATATAAAATTTTCTAGCACTTTGCTTAAGTTCGTCATGAGATAAATGGTCACGGTCCAATGGGGAAAACCACTCATGAATAGACGGTGGTTCCATAAAAAGAATGCTAATTGTCTAAAAATGATTCAATCCATTGTGCAAACAAATGGTTTCTTGATCTTAATTCTTAACTAAATTAATAATATGCAAAAGTTAGGAAACAATAAAATATTCTAAATTGTAACACTGACCAATTCATAGTTGCTTTGCTTTGCAAGTCCTGTTGCATTTGGATCAGCATTTATCCTCAAACCATACGAAAAGTCCTTTAGCGGGCCAACATTAATCAATGTATCACGAACTGCAAAGGAGAAGACCTTCTGCAATTCAAACCAGGAAAACAACAAATTCAGTGATTATTATAGAGAAAACCGATATCACCATATACCACAATTTCAATGGAAAGTTTAGTTCATGATCCCAATTCACATTTGCTACCTTCAAGTATCTAGTGGCAATGAAAGTGAAAGAACACATCAATAACAACGACAATCAGAGAAAATTTTACAGAGGATTATACAGCTAAATCATTGCAGTGCTCCACTGACACAAGATGACTGAGCTTCCCATTGGTTGACAATAAAAATATACATACTCACAGACAAAGACTAGCGCTATGAAGTGCAAACAAAAAAAATCAAGATGCCCAAGGCATAAAGAAGAATTTCAATCTCCAAATTCAGGTCAAGGATGACTACCCCTGGAATTAAAGAGCATATTATATCTGAACACATATATATGTACATAACTTTCATAGGACTTTCCTTTATTATAGTTTTACTTTCCTATTAGAGTTTTATTTATGAAAAGACTTTCTATAGGTATCCTACATTTGTATGAAAAGAGGAGATTACTCCTATTGATCAATGAACAAAATGAGTTTAGTTTCGTAACATAGTACCAGAGCTAAAAGCTTAACCCTAGAGACCTCTTTCTTTAACCTTACCCTCAGGGCTGCCAAGGGGTTTCACTGAAAGCTCCATATATGTGTTTACCCTTGGTGGCTTCATATTTGTCCCACTACTTTCATACGCCTCTAAAATCGCTTAACTTTTCTTCTTTAAACCTTAAGAAAAAATCCCAATCAGTGCTTCTTCTTTCCTAAGTCCATAAAAGCGACATACCAAAAAGAAATAAACTAAGTGCATCAATGCCAGCCAAAGTCTTGCTGCGCCACAGGAAGGGCATAAGCGTATAGTGAAACCTCAGGAAGGACATGAACCTTAGGCAACAGCTCATCTGACCTTTTTCTTAAAAAACTAAAAATAAAAAGAAAGAAAGAAAGAAAGAAAAAAAGAAAAATTGGCCAGCAGTTGGTTCCTCGTCAACCCCATCTTCCAGTAGCTTGCTAAAAATTATCATAGAGGTGTTGATACAAGATGATTTGAAGATCAAGTGAATCTTTGGTTAAAGAGTCCTTCGCCGGTGAAGCTAGTTAAAATTAGAAAAGTCATGTTAGGATATTTTAGAGTTAGATTTCAAATTTTAGATTTGACTTAGCTGTTAGAATATTTGATTTTATAGGTGGATTATCCACTTTTGAATTTTAGATTGTATACGGATAAGATTTGTTTTTAAATTGTATTACAGATAAGAGCTGCAATTTTATTGTTTTTCGTATGAAGAAAATTTGAAAATAGAGAGTCATTTCCCTAATTTACTCCATTCTTTTCTAAATAAACCAATCAAAAAATCCCAAATTCCCCAAAGGCCTCGCGTGAAGAAGCTATCTCTCCACCACCAACCCACCCCCCATCCCTCTCTCTCCGCCCACCTCCCCTTCACATCCCACAGCCCATCGACAGCAAAACACTCATCGCCATTCCTCCTGACATCAACTATAGCACCACCGCCATCTTCCAATCTCTGATGATTCTGCTGACCATCATAAGAACCTCCAACGAACACCAAAAGCTCCAGAAAGCTTTTCGAAGCTCGTTTTATATTAGAATTTCAGTTTGCGCAATCTTCATCAGGTCCAAATCAAGCATCCTCTACTTTGTTGGTCATGTGTGCTCTCTCCCACAACAAGGTTCGTGATGATTCCCTCATCTTACAGACCAACGGTTTCCCTCTCGATTTTTTATCCCATTAACTTTTCTGCAAGTATAAAGGAGACCACGCATTATTGAGTAGTAATAGCAGCAATATTGTATCCCCTAGACTCAGTATCTGATGTTAAGAAACTTGATGACTACCTCACTTGAAGTTGTATTTCTCCATATTAAGAATCGAAGGATGATATTACAGTTTATCAAGTAATTCAGTCGGTGTCATCAATGGTGTATGCAAACATTACTCAATGATACAAACACATATGTCCTCATGAGGACGTTTAGAATCTACAAACGTCAACGAGTCAAAATTTCATGGATACTTAGAAGAGTAATACGAAAAAGAATGACAACTTTGCAATTTTTCACCAAACAGATCAACATCGTTGTCATCATTGTTAGAGCTGCAACCTTCTCGACAGTATCAGAGTCTTATCCAAATCGGTATACTCCTCCCCTTTGACTGATCACTGACTTATGGTCCAACTTAACTGCTTCTGGCTCATCACTAACAAGAATAAACTAGTATGATTAATTGTAGCCCCCTCTGGACATAGTCATCTCTAAAGACATCATATCATCCTATGGATATAAAGCTCTTCCTCGATGTTAGCGACTTCTGAAAAACCTTCCTGGCGTTATATATGTTATTTTGGCTCTAACTCTAATATACTTCTTGGTGACGAGTTCTTTCTCTTAATGACTGTAAAATCGACCATTGAAATATTTTCCATTGATGTCCACAGATTTGCATTTATCATAAAATAATCTTGACGAAGCTAAGTTATTATCTGCTAATATCCACGGATTTCTATTGTTCACTTCACCATCGATATCGACACCACTCACTTTTTTTGTGTACTTCGATTCTAATCCTACATCATCAACCTCGTCACTGCAAAGGTTTTCTCTAGCAATGCCCTCAAATCTTATCCCTTGCCGACAATCTCGTCGCCCTTAAGTTTTCTCCGTCTTTATGGCTTCTTCATTGTCTATCTTACGCACTTCTTCTCCTTAGTTCACACTCGAGTATTGTTTCAATTTGATACTTATCATTCAAATCTCGGTCATTGAACCACCGTGAAGGGGATGTTAAAAATATTACTTTTCTCTAATAAACATTCTTTATATGATAGTGTTCCTTTCTTATTAGAGTTTTCCTTTTATAAGAATTTCTGGACAAATATTTGAATGTTCGCTCCGGTTAGCGGGGGGATCTACTAAAGAGACATTATATGGTAGGACCTTTTGATGAGACTAAGAGAAATGAGCAAGAAGCTTCGAGAAAACTGATGTTTTCTGAATTATCCTACAATGTTAGTATATACATAAAGGATATTACCACCTTCAATGATCAATAAATAACAAGAGATTTCTTTTCTTAACAATATATTATATATGAAGGTATGTGTATGTATACAATGTATGTATGTATGTATGTATGACAAATCAAAATAAAAAATAAAAAGAAGAATCCATGGGCAACCAACATCCTAAGAGCTAATATTAAACATTGTATTGGTGGTTGTACTAGAAATGAATACAACAATCAAATGAATTTTTTTGTGTCAATAGAAAGTATGAGAACCCTGGTGGATATCATGCAAATTCATTCATAGAAGAATCTTGTTGTATGTTCAAAGCAAACAACGAACAGACACATATATAAATGAACTACATAATACAACAGTTGCAACCGGGCACAATTTCACCTGTGTTGATTCTGAACTATTTGGAGCTGTAGCATACAAAGAAAGCTCCTCAGCACTTGCAACATCCTGAAGGGAATCAGATGACATCCTCTTTAATCGTTTTACTGCTGGAACATCACCTTCAATTTCAGCAATCTGTTGCATGGAGTAGCAATAAAATTAGCCCCAATCCAAGTTTTGTATAAAGTAAAATACACAGGAAACAAAGAGAAATAAACATTAAAAATATAGCAAATAAGGATGGTTGTTTCCATAAAAACAAAAAGAGCATAGGAGTTGATATTCCTAGCTTTCAGCTATGTACCCACATTGTATAGTTTCCAAAGAATTAATATGTTTAGGCAAAATTTTATAGAAACCGAGCTACTTGTAGATTAATTCTTGAGTGAATTTCTTAGAGTAATACAAATGTATTCCACCATGAAGTTTTTTTCCCGGTTTGAGAAGGTTTACACAGATTCTAGTGGTCGTAGAAGATGGAGATCACCTCATTATAAGAAAAGGATCTTGGTGACTGCTATTGAAACAAGCGCGGAGGAAATCTCATCATCAGTGTAGAGTAGAAATAGGCCAGAAAGTTGGGCAGGAATCCTTATGTTCGTTTCTAATGACTCTCTATCCCAAAATGATTTTAGAAGGAAAAAAATCTTCACTTTCATTTCGAAATTATTACAATATTAATTACCTTAGCGTTCTAATTGTTGAGGTTATTGTGTCATGCATTTACACAATGTTTGGGACTTCACTAGGGGAAGGAAATGAAAGGTAAAATAGGAAAAGTAAAGAAAGGGAAGTGGATGGCAAATATAATATATTGTTTGAGAGTTTAGTAAAAGGAATGAAGGGGGACTTAGTTTACCATATTTGAAAGTTCTAACTAAGAGAACGGAAGGGGGGGGATCGTTTCATAATCAAATCTAAGTCGTTGTTCCATAGTGATAGAGAGCATATTAGATCTTTTAAGTTTACTTTCCCTGCCCTCTTCTACACCCCAATTTGAAAGGGAACAAAACGACAACTTTTTTATAGAAATTTTACCTTCCCTATCTCCCGTTATCTTCCTTAAAAAAACTCAAACAGAGTTGAGTGTCATTTTTCCTTCCTTTACACTTGGCTACCCCTAATCCAAACACACTGTTAGTGTTAACCTTTTTAACCACATGTATTCTTTACTGGAGCACTACAGGGATCTTTACTAGAATTGGAACCCAAAGAAACTTTGATATTTACTACTTAGACTTGTATCTTATTATTTCATCAAACTTTTATTGCATGTTGTTTTAGTGCATAAACTAGCCAGTAGGCTCCTATATACATTTATAATTTTCATTCAATCCACCCACCAGCCCAAAAAAAAAGAACAAAAGAAATTGTCGCCGAGTAAAATAAAGGATAGAAAAATATTATATATGCAGCCATGAAGAAGAGCAAGGAGAATCTCTGGAATTCTATGTTTAATATCAATTCTTTCACTACAGGTCCAAGCCAAGTGATAGCCAACAGCCAATACAAAAAAAATGACAGGTTCCATTGAAAAACTTAGCATGATTGAGGTACTAAAATAGAAGTGGCACTTCCTAATTTAACAGAGAACATGACCCTTCAAGCGGTGAAAGGAGAAAAGAAATTCATGCAGCGGACAATAAGAATACAAGATTTGGAATAATGATATGTTGTTCCATCTTGCTAGTACTGCAATTGTACACAAGGAGAAATGAGTAGCGTTTACTTATATAACAATAGATGACAACAAAGGATAAGGATATATATAAAGCAGCTTTTCCTAAAGCCTCAACAAAAGAATGTTGCTCCACAAGATACTTTTCCTGACAAGCCAAAAATGAATCTCATATTATATTTTATACTAACAAATTTAATATTTTTCCCTTAAATTGTTTCTTAAAACATATTCTTATTTGAAATAAAAGCATAATGAAAGGTAGAGTCCAAACAGATAATCATAAGGAAAGGTAGAGTCCAAAAAGAAATAGTTCCAATATGCTTGTTATATGGTTGAAAATGCATAATGAATAGATACAGATGGCAAGAACATCATATTAGCTATTCCGAAAGGAGACAGTAACCGAACTGAGAAACAGTTAAATCACCTGCTCACATGAAACAAAGACCAATAAGTGAAAAGAATCATTACTTAAAGGGTTACCGGATGCAGAGACTTCAACGTCCAAAGGTAACAAAATAGAGTAATATCAAGCAAATATACTTCCATAGAAACTATAGCATTCGATTGAATTTCCGAATACTAAAATGCTACTCATCAAAAATTGAGAATGGACAAAATAAAAACTTTATAAAAGGCTTAAACTTCGAAGGTCAATAGATGAAACATGTTCATGATCAAAATAATATCTCAAACTAATAATGCAGCAATCATCAAAATGCAATGAAACAAGACTAACCTAATGAGATAGTTGCTAGAAATTATATGAAATAGTGTAGCTCTTAACCATTAACAGAATAGGCACACATAGCAAGAGTGTAGAAGGTAAGCAATGTGGTTACACGAAAGATAGTAAATATTTACAAACTCAATCAAGGAACTAATACCTAAACAATAAGAAAATAAAGAGGCCCTATATGGCCAGAAGAAATGTACCAGAAGGCTGAAGGACATCTCATAGTTAAAGGAGAAAAGGGAAGAATAATGAAGCCAACAATAACTACCTTTTTGACATTGGTAGAATAATTGGAAGGCAAAGGGTCAAGCACAAACTTAAATGCAATGAAAATGCCACAAGGTAAATAAAAATTCAACAAAGACTAAATAAAAGTATTCTACTACAGAAGGAAACAGCATGGAATAAAGGACATTAATTATTCATTTTTAAAAATGGAAAAAGGGAAGAAAACTTGAATAACACAGTTAATCCAATACACATCAAACAAAAGGGATGCCAAGGTTCTCAGCAAACTTAGAAGAATTGAACTATGTACTTGATTAAAGATAACGCTAAGAGGAACATTTTAACAAATTCCAGATAGAAAAAGAAGAAGGCAGAAATAACTAGGCCAAGGCACTTTAAAAATTTAGCCTTAATGGCTCCTCATGATGATGATTCCCATCAAAACCAACATCACACTTGGACTGGTATAGTTGAAGATGAATTCATAAAGAATCCAATCTCAATATTGTGCTTTTCTTAAGGAAGTTATGGTTAGATCAGATCAATTTTAAAATGCTAAAATCGCTTGATCAACATAAATGATTGTCATTCATTCATTTTATTACTAAAGAATATTGAAGAAAAATTCATCCAGAATTTATGTATACAATCATGCTTAAAATAACAAGGCAGGCAATCTTCTACAAGTTATTGGATTGTATCGGTGGCACAAATAAACATGTTTGACGAATATGTTATTAAAAGAAAAGGTTTTCGTGGTACAGGGCAGCAAACGAGACATCTCCAGAATACGAATGGAACATAAAACAAATATCCCCACATTATGTAAGTTCCATGCTCAAATGCCATGAAACCTGAAAAGAATTTGACGAAGAAGTTGCAAACAAGTTAAGAAGATGGATAATATTGTCAAGTTGTGATCGTACACACAGAAATTATAAGAAATGACATGTCCTTAAAATCATCGTAGAAGAGTTGAGAACAAATTAGGATTAAAGAATATTTCTAGACATCTATAAAATTATTTACAGACATATGCAGTGGAAACTAATAAATCCACAGGTTAGGACTAATGATTAGTACAACCCGGAACAACAAGGACTATGTGAAGACCTAACTAAACTTGGATTGAAATAGTAAAATAGATATAGATTGGGAATGCAGCATTTAATAGATCTGAATGGAGAGAAAGGATTCAGGCATTTGGCCCAAGAGTTGGGATAAAAGTTCTCGTCTTCCTTTTTAGTTGCATGAGCATGAACTGTGAGTGTGGACAATCGAATAATTGATTATACAGACATCTTAGAAAAATAAAGCAACGTACTAGTCTTCAATAGAATGTTTAATAAAATTACTTTAAGAATGCACTTAAATAAAATATACATATACATATATACATATATGCATACATACATATATATATATATATATATATATATAATTGATTATACAGACATCTTAGAAAAATAAAGCAACGTACTAGTCTTCAATAGAATGTTTAATAAAATTACTTTAAGAATGCACTTAAATAAAATATACATATACATATATACATATATGCATACATACATATATATATATATATATATATATATATATATATATGAAAAACAAAA